TCGACCAAACAAAAGCTTGCATTTTAATGGTTGAGCTACACTAATAGCCAGTTAAGAAGAAGCCTGCAAGCCAGGTGTGGTGGCACATGCTTGTAATCCCAGCACTCGGGAGGCTGAGGCAGGAGGATCACTGAGTTCAAGGCCAGCCTGGGCTACACAGTGAGTACAAGGCCAGCTTGAACTACACAGCAAGACCCTGTCTCAAGAAACCCCAAAAATGCACAGAGAAGAAGAAAGTTGCAAGGAGAGCACATGTGGCTCTGAGGCAGCACCCGGAGACCCCAGCCACAGGTGGCCGCAGGGCATGTGACCCCATGGCGAGAGGACCCTGCCAACACCAAAGAAAGAGCATGCGATGTTGCGGGTCATACAGCTCCTCCATTTCCAATAGGAACAACAGAGAGCAAAGCCCAACGGAAGGTGAAGAAGACCGCAATGCCTCCTGTGTGCCCGATTCAAGATGGAGCTGACCCTAGGACGTGTGCACAGGTCTTGTTCTGCATCAATCTCAGCAAGCACCGACTGTGGTCATGGGTTATCTTCTATGGAATGATACTGCTCTAAGATAAACTATATCAAAGTCTCAGCAGGTAAAATCTTTTCCAGACAGTGACTGATCAGAAAAGGAAGAGGTAAAAAGTTATTCTTAAAAGCTTGTACAATTCTTGAGGGCAGGGTCTTCAGGGTGGAGGTGGGGAGATCAGCCCACCAAAGCGAAGAAGGTCCCTGCTACTCCGGGCCAGAGGAGACGCTTCTCAATATGTGCTTAAGGCAAGAAAGGATGAGCAAGTGAGGGGCAGCCAGGCTGCGTGCATGTGGGAGTCTGAGTGTGTGCACATAATACAGATCTGTAACTAACAAACCAAACCGAACCCAGAGTTCCACATACCATGATACTTGGCCCAATCCCCCTTATCTGCCCTGAATCTCACTGTTGAAGAAACTATAATTGCCTTTTAATTGTACACGGTAACCACCTGTTATGGTCTGGCTCTAGAAGTCTCCCACGGCCTCTGCTCTCTCCCGGATGTGGGGCCCCGGGAAGGTGACTGGATCCTGAAGGCACTATGGCTGACTTGCTGTCAGGGCGGGGTCTGGTACGAAGAGGCAGGTCTTTGGGGTGTGATGGTCAAGGTAGACCTCCCTCCCTGGTGCTCTCCCTCCTTGTCTCTCTGCTTCCTGGCTGCCATGATCTGAGCAGATTTCCTGCCCCCGGGCCCTCTCACTATTTTTTTCTGCCTGGGAGCTGGCTGACCACAGACTGTAGCTATGAGCTCAAAAAATCTCTCTTTCTTTAAGGTGGCTGTTGGGTATTGTCCTTCTGCAACAAGAAAGTGACTGAGACATCACTCTCAGGTCTAGCGCTGTTTAAAGACCCTCGGAAAGTTTCTCTGTTGGTTAACAGAATTAACTAACTTGAACTATATAGACAAGTGACTGGCAACAATACTCCCAATAATAATAAGTACTTGTATAGACATTAAAATGATTATTTCTATACCATATTAACATGTATCAGCTAATTTAATTTACAGAGAGGACCTGGACTTACAGTTTCCAAAACCACCTCCTCAATCTCTGAGCTTTCATACATGCTATTAGTGAACTCGAATAAATCTTGTTCAATTTAAAAAGTCATAATGTTTCAAAATCAAATAACTGTGATATGTCTTCCGTTGGCAGTCACTGCTCACTAGGAAGCTGGCATCCAATTGATTTCACACAAATGCATCTCTTCGAGATTCCATTGTTATAGCTCATTAATTATCTTATTTTGTCCCTTACAGGGAACTCACAAAGGGAAGGGTGTTTTTGCCCAAGGAATCAGGTAGCTCTCCCAAAACAACACCCGTAGTCACATGTCCTGGCTTTTTCTGAATAGCCCTGATTTAGTAAATTCCTATTACTCTATCCTACAAATTAGCAATCCAAATGTCTTATAAATTTCAGTATTTTATTGGCTAAATTCATTATCCTGACAGAAAGAAACAAAAACCCTTTGCCTGGCCATGCATTTTCATTAAATGGTAAAATCTGGTTGCCATGGAACCGGAGGCCTCGCTAACCCTTCGCATGGCCGCTGTACAGTGTAAGGGCGCTGGCCTGTTTGCGTTAGCGTGGAAGGAAACAGACACAAAACAAAAGCAACACCCAGTGAGAGGCCAGAAGGACAAAACGGGCTGGTTCTTCTGGTGGGAATCACAACAGCAACCCTTTGGAGACACAGATAAAAAATACATTTTTAACCAATGTGCCTAATTCCATGCAAATAAAAAGAAAGTGCAGGCATTCGTCATTTTGTTCAATAACAACCATCACAGCCCTGAGAAATTGCTACTTATCCCGGGAAGACAGATATCATGTGTCATATTAATTTGTGTCTGTTCTCTGCTGAGCTGAGCCTGCCGGCCACCAGCTACACTGTTTCTTGGTGTATTTTGCTTACTTCTGCTTTATAATAAATAGATGGACAGCTTTGAGTTGTAGTTCCTGTTTACCTCTGTGCCATTTATGGTCTCATTTAGGACTTTCTGGGTAAATGCCATGTTTGATTCTTCCCTTGAAATAAAAGGTATTTTCTTTAAAAAAAGAAATCTCTCTCTCTCTATATATATATAAAATATCATATATTTATTATACATACAGAGACAATAAATTGTGAACCTGAGTAAAAAGGATTAAGATGTGGTATGCAACGCCCATGATGAAAGTAATTATTATGTACTGAAACCATGTGTTAATAAAAATTTATGAAATTAAAAAAATAAACTGAATCTCAGCCAATGTTTGTTATCACAGATTTGTGAACAAACCAGAACATCTTAAAGACCATTTAAAAGGGGGTCACGTGAGTAATAAGGGAATGACCTTGCTCTTCTGCGTGTGAGAAGCCATTCAGCAACGATCTCTCAGTATTTACAAGGTCTTGGTAAAAACAAAAGTGTACTGACGAGTCCAGGGTCTGCTGCCCAAAGTTCAATACGCAGAGGAAGTCTTGAGCTTCCTTTTCCGTTGGGAAGGTAAAGTCAGCTAAGAATGTGAATCAAATGGGCTTTCAACCAGTGTCTTCCTTTTGGGGAGGAGTAAAACAAGGTGGCCCAAAGAAGAGAAAAGGATACAGAGGCCTTGAGGCCTGCACCCAAAGAGAAAAAGTCGGCAGTCAGAAGCACTTTCCTTTGTCCACTTGTGATCACTGTCCACTCAGTCCCTCATCTGCACAGGCGGAGGGAGGAAGGAAAGGAAGCAGTTTCTTTAAAAAATGACTTTCAATGCTGCAAACGTGATATGCAGAGAAGTTCCTTTAGTCTAAATCCAATTGTGGATACTGCTTTAGGGGCCGAGGGAAGTGGAAGGGGGGAGGAGACAGGAACAAACCAGGCACAGAACACCTTCCATTCTGCATGCTTTGCTGTCTCCATGCCTGGCTCTCAGCCAGCAGGGACCACAGACATGCACGACAGTCCACAAGATCAACCGCTCAGCCAGGAACGACCAGCAGAAGGGGCGAACACCCGCTGCCCGGCCGATGCAGGAGAAGAGATCCTGGATGTGGAGCCTTTCACATAATGGAATCCGCTCAAGTTTTCAGGGGTGAGGTGAGTGTATTTTGCATGCGGAAGACACCCGGATCTCCACAGCTGGAGAAGGGCTGTGGCATTTCATTGCCTAAGACGGCTCATGGCAATTCTCTGCTGGATGTGATGCCTCCCATCCTGGACTTGTGAGGTGCTTTACCAGTGCAGCGCGGCGGATACCAGAGCACAGGTCTCAGCGGGGCTCCGACCTTCTGCTTTAGCCCTCTCAGGATCCAACCACAGCACAAACAGCACAAGCCAGTTTATGGACTGATGAGAGAGACGCAGCCACCCCCAAACAATTCGGTCTACAATGGGGCTGTGGGTGCCCCTCCAGCCCCAGGCGAGCCATGCCCACAGACACCATGGGGAGCAGATGCATCCTCTCAGACAAGCCTTACTCGAAATCGTGAATCCATAAGTGGGTGTTAGTTTTTAACCCACTAAGTTTAGGGACGGATGAGGCATTATGTAACAATGAACACCTGAACCATTTAAATAAAAGTGGAAATGTGTGGAACATACTGCATTTGTACTAACTTTTGTAAACTGATTCAATTATTCTTTAGTATGAACTTTGTGGTTTTGTTTATTTTTACCTGTCTTGTGTGATAATTTTTGACATTATAATAGCGAAAGACTAGGTTTCAAAGCACCCATAATTACGTAATGATAATAGATTTACTATTCATACTTCTTGTATGCAAACAGACAACTGATTTTACCCTTGCTCCAAAGAGGACTGTTGTACAGAGGCCAGGGATGATATGCTTGGACAGGTCAGCTCAGTGCAGACTATCACGGTTGTACCAACGGAAAGAAAAATACACTCAAAACAAGCATCTCTTAAACCCCAAAGATTTAACTCAGACATCACTTAAGTCAGATAGTTTTCGAAAGGCTGTTCTCAGTAATAAGCACATTTTCTTTTCCTACTCACCCAATATGACAGAGTTAAGGGTCAACAACTCCTCTGGGAAGTTTGACTCCACTATGTTAAAAAAAATGTCGGCTCTGGGGTGAATCGTGACACAAACTGACCAAATACACGCCCCAGCAAGCAGCTGACAGATTAGAACTGCACTCATGAGGGCCGTGCAAGGCAGAGCCCTGGGCCTTGCTGTTGACAGATACTGTGGGGTGAATGGCGCCCCTTAAGTCAAGCAGCGCTGGGATGCTGTGTACACAGCCTATCAAAGGCAAAGAGATGAGCTATGGTTCTTCCCTTGAAATCCTGGGGTGCTGGTAGGAGTTGAGTGACATATGCTTAACAGCAGCACATAAACATAAACACAGGGATGTACATGTACTCCGGGTGAAGGTGGAATTGACAAAATGAGCTGAGCTAGAGGCATGGAAGACAAGAATACTAAAGCATATAAAGTGCACATCGGTACAATCACACACACAGAGGATGGAGCTTACCTGACACGCTGATGGGTGAGTGTGGTTGAGATCCCAATGGGAAGACACTATGTCAACAGACTTTTTGGCCATGTTGAGTAAATTCATCCAGCCTTGGAAAAGTGGTAAGTGGAAAGGCGCACTTTCTGAATAGTTAAGGCCTTCAGGAATATTTTCCACCAGGGCAATTCTTAGAAAAGATTTTGAAAAAACAAACAAAAGCTAGTCAAATTTGAAGCCATCAATCTTTCTTCACATATGCATACAGAGACATCTGGAAAGTATTCTTTTATCTTTCTGAATGTATATTTTACTCACAAATTATATTTTTCCCACCAAAGCCCTCTTACGCTTCCCCTGTGCTGATCTGTGTTGAGAATTTATGCTATTTTCCCATAGTTAACACTGATCTTTCAGAAAATCATAGTATGTGCCCCCAACGTGCAGTTTCAAACAAGCCTTGAAGAAACCCAGAGCTTCCTCCATGAACATCTTATACTAGTAATTCTAGTAACATATTCCTAACTTGTCCCTGTAGCAATGCAATTATAAGGGACGCAGTTCTTGTGTACTACTTCTGCAAGCTACTTGAGACCACAAATTAAGTTTTGCTTATCTTCAGTTTCTAATACAATGCTGGGGATATGTTAGAATTCAGTGAATGTGATTATTACTGCTCAACACATCTACTGATACTTGCTAGCCTAAGATGTAAAGTAATACTGACAAAGTAATAAAAACTGCTTCGGGCAAAGCTTTCTTAAAGTCAGGCAATAAGGGCCGTATAAAATGATAGTAATAATCAAGCCCCAGATAAAACACAATCAGCAGTATCACAGTAAGTTTGCTTTCTCTTTCCATTTTTGTATATATATTGGCAGCATATTCGCTGTGACTACCTCTCCCGGGTACTGTACCTGAGGCTGTTTTTTTTCCCTCACTTTTGAGTTAGGTGACACGTAACTTCTTAAAAGAACAAATAAAAAATTGCACTTTAGTAAATTCTTGATTTCTTCTGCAATTCTTTATGGAGAAACCCCCAAATTTTATGATGATGTCTGGTGAGTGCTTCCAGAATATGGGTCTGTTTCACTCATAGCTGCAGGCCCACAGTTACATGCGCAGGTGGGATGGAGGGTGCAGCTCAGTGGCAGAGCACATGCTTTTGACAAACAAGATCAAAGCAACAACAAAACCCTACAACTGGAGCTCAGCCCATATATACAGAATTTTCAGCTTTCAACACAGATTTCAGCACTTCTCAATAAAAGTAACCATTACGCTTTAGAGACTTGTCTTATTTAACCAGCTTCACAAATAAAAACAATACTAAAATATACTTTTGTAGTTGAATAAGCCTAAAATAGTATAGTCAGAATGAGGTTCCAGAGTACGGACCAGAGTCATTAATGATTTTGGGATCCAATCCCCCACTACCACAGGCAGACTCACTTAATGTTGACACCTCATAAGGACAGGACAAGCAAATCACTATACACAATTTGGAAACGGCTATGACAATCTCCCTTGTCCTCAGAGGTTTATAACTAGTGGGTCAGTCTGCCTCACACATTCTTATTCAGATAAATTCTGAATTCTTATTCTTATTCAAGCAGGAAGTAGACTCTAGTAGGTTGTGAAATGAGAGTAAGAAGTCTAATTAAGTGGATATGTGGAACATGGGCAGGAAGAAAAAATCAGTTCTGAACGGAGATATCTAGAATTGGAGGAAGTCTCCCACATAGATTTTTATAAGAGTAAGCTGGAAGGGAAAGACATTTTAGGTAAAGTGAGGAGTTGCATCTGCTATTTGTGAATAGGTAGCAAGGAGTAAGTGAAGCAGGAGAGTCATGGCAGGAGCTGGCATGGTGCAGAAAGGAGGCAGCATCCACTGAGCCAACACCACGGGGGCCGTGACACAGGAAGAAGGGTCTGGATTTAATTCTGATGCATGTGGTGGCAACTATGTTTCACAGGATAATGATGGCAGTGTATCTGCACACTGCTGGAATGGAGTAGAGAGAAACCGGAGGATGACAAGTCCGTGAACAGCAGAAGCTGTTGAAATAGTTCTGGAAAGAAAAATGGAGTTTTTGGGTACAAATGGGTACAAAAAGAGACATGCAATGGAATTTTCAGAACCAAATCTCAAAGATGTACTGGATCAACAGGTATGAGGAGCAGGCGCAGGAGAAATGGTCCATGAGGACTCAGATTTTCCTGCAGTCAACATAGTGTCTCTGACCTGGGCTCCAGAACCACTTCCAGTGGGCTCCATACTTGGATCCTTGTCCCTCTCCAAACTATCCTCCATCATAGTTGGATTAATCTTTTAAAACATGTAAACCCAAACACTTCCTAAGTACCCCTCTTCTGGATTTTCCCACTTGCCCCAGGGGGCCACTGCCCTCACCCCATGCTACAGGGTTTGGAAAGTATTTGCTAGTCCCATCTGCTTTTCTGTAGCTTTACTGGACTCAAATGCTGAGTTTTACACCACGGGCACACTTGACATTATTTTTATGCCTTCTCTGCTAGTCCTTCTGGATTCTGGTATTTTAAGTGAATTTTCCCAATTCCAGATTCTACACTAGTCATTGAGACTTCTCTCAGCAAACCTTCAAAATTCTAATTTAAATTACTTCCTCTGTCAGGTTTCCTTATGTCCCCAAAGTAGATGACATCCTCTTATTATCAGCTCCCATGGCAACTTGCACTGCCCTTTCATCCTACTTTTAAGTCCTAAAATCACTTGCTCAAAACGCTCTCCTCAACAGATGTAGGGTGTGTGAAGGCAGGAACCTGCTCCTTGGTCCAGGTTTGTATCCTCAGTGCCTAACACACTGCAGAGAAGGCATCCAAAGAGTATGGGCTTTGTTGTATTAAAATCTGAACAACCAGGAATATGGGGAGGGAGGGCTATTAAAGTTAACAAGGAACACGGGAAAGGATATAAACCAGGGATTAGGAGAGATTATCAAATGTGACATTAATCCTGATACAGCAACTTGAGTACATTGAGAAATACTTTGGTATAGTGCAGTTCCAGGTGGGCCTGTGAGTGACTGACTGTAGGCCAGCAGACTGAGGAAAGAAGACCCACCCTGGATACGAGTGGAACCAGCCAACAGGCTTACAGCTTGGATAGAATAAAAAGGGAAAGGAGAATGAAATGTTCTCATTTTGGAAGAGTTCCAATCTTCACCAGTGCCTCTGGAAATCAGTCTTTGGTTTCAGCCTTCCTAAGCAGACTCACACCAGTGACTCTACAGTGAACTTCCCGGCCTTTGGCTGTGGACTGGTGCTGTATATTCAACCCTGCTTGCTCTGCACCTTGTTCTTCTGTCTTCTTGGGGTGAGGAACTTCTGGATCCCCAGCTTTCCAGCACACAGACAGCCACTGTGGGCTATTCTACCTCCGATCCTGCAAATGGCCACTGTGGATCTCCCATCTACGCTGTAAGCCTACCTAATAAATCTCTGTATTATTATACTTATATTTTCTAATGATTTTACTTCTTTAGAGAACCCTGACTAATACATCAATGTAACAAAGGTGAAAAGAAAATCAACCCACAGTTAATATGGAGGAGCCCCATACAATTTCCTGGTTGGCAGAACGTGCAATAGACAAGAACACTCTGGGGGACCATTTAAGAAGCAGGAGGACAAGAGAGGATACGGAGAAAGCAGTGCTCTAGAAGTAAAGGAGAGAGAGGGATCAATTTTACTTCAAAAGCTTCAAGGGCAGTAGACGGAGGTTGAAGATAATTCTATCCACATTTAAAGCCTAATTATCTGTTCAAAGAAGCTAGACATGGCATGAATAAATGACTCAAAATAATCAGCAGTTTCAGTTTCCCCTACAATTGAATACATTTAAAAATAATCCAGCAAACAAAAAAAGAATCCCCTGAAAAAAACCAAAATACAACATCTGCCAAACAAACAGAAGTAGTTTTCATCTTACTTTGACACAAATGACATACTGAGAAAGACATAAGGAAACTCAAGAAACCCAGAAAAAGAAGATAAAATGAGGGATACAGATAATTATACAATTGTGGATGGCTCCATTCCATCCTGTTTCATCTCCTCAGCTTCTGCTAGGCAAACAAATGAGTCAGGACTCTAAGCTCCTTGGACAACTTTACACTAGATGTTCTTAATCTTGGATCTCTGGGCTGAATACATGTGTATCTATAAACTTAGATTTTAATTTTATTTTGCCTAATCTCTTATGAACACATGCAATAAACTATAAGAATATTAGCAGGGTTTGTGATTTTTGGCACTGGTAAGATTTTTCATTTTTTTTCCTCCTGAAACAAGATGGTGCCATTTACATTGATCTTAACAGTCTGCGGAGAAGAACTATACAGGAAAAGTAGACAGCCACGATTTATAGAGGACAGTGTTCCCATGGTCTGAGACATTCTCTACAAAGTCTCCACATTGACATACTTCATCCTTCTCAAGATAAGAATGACAGCTGAGAATCTAGGGTGCACTGCAGAGTCTATATAGTAATATATATAGTGTATATATATTATAGTAATATTGGATCTTGTTTGCCAGGGTCAATAGAGAGAAAAGGCAAATATTATCAATTTACTAACAATGGACTACTGCATTCATTCAACCTCCCCAAAGTAGTTTGCCCTGTAATCACACCAAAAAACACACCCTGGCAACATGGCAGCCTTACACAGCTTATAAAGATGGCACAGCAGGACAGTCAGCCTATAACTGTGATGGAGAAACCAGGACATGTTTTAAATCTTTCATCCAACGAGAAAATGTGGACTTGGTGTCCATCTTGGTCACAGGATTAAACTATCAGTGCCTGAAATGTTAACAATGAAGCTGACTTCTGTGAAAATACCAATTTTAGCATAACTGTAAATAAACTGCATTTTCAAAGACTCGTGATTTTGAGCTATCACCTGGCGATCAACATACAAGGTGTCTATGGTCCAGGGAGTAAAGGTGCATCTCCATTTGTTAGATGATATCAGCACTGTCACCAGTGAGTTTCCTAAAGGATAAGAAGGTGACAATGCTACTATTCTGTTGGTCACAGCTGGAGCAAATGTTGACAAGATAGGAGCTCCCCATAACAGGGAACAAACAGGTACTACACTGCGACAAAGGGAGAGTGTTCTAACGGTGAATACCAAAACAGTGTCC